TTATATATATATATATATATATATATATATATATATATATAAATATATATACACTAATTCAGTTATCTTCGAGACAACAAAAGTAAATAGATTTTTGGGATTGATGTAATTATATAGAACTTCGTAAACACACAACAAGCATTTAGTTTGTGTAAGTGGTTATCTAAACCCCACGAAAAATATTCGTTGGCTGCATAATATTGATATTGACTGGGTCATCCGACAAAATGTGGTCTACATGTGATGTTTTGTGATGTGGTGCATAACCAGCAGTCAGATCGATCGATCATTGGTGAGGAGGATGCATAATTTTCTGATTTAGTAGTCACGGGAAATAATCTGTTTCATATTCTCTCCTCCACTGGAATACGAACGGGGTAGGTATATTCGTAGCGACTTGTGTCGGGTATGGAATCAGTGCGGTTTTTGGGAAATTTTTAGAAAATAAGTGGATCGCACAAGGCGTCGCATCGTGCATGCTTCAGTTTGATCGTGTCGAGACTGTGGTGTGCCACGCCTTTGCTGTGCTGCGGTGGCACGCGCAATTGCATCGACAGAGTGATGCCACGACCGATGATGTCGATGGGCATGCCTAAAGCTGTGTGCAGTACGACAGTCACTTATTGTTTGCTTCACATCAGGCTACTCCAACAACAAATGTCAGTAGTATAAGATTTTGCGTATATGCACACTGGCGCACATACGCGCAGCGCAGTCCAACCGTCACACCAGCCAAGGCTAGTGCTCGTGAGACTCACACCTACACACAGTCGAGGCCAATGGGGTTGCGCTCTGCGCGCTACACGTCTGCCGCAAGCTGATTCACGCTCGACGGGAGGGCCCAACGAGAGGACGATAAGCGGTTGGCCTGAGAATCAATAGCCTGTTTTTGTGAGGCTGTTTAAAAGAGCGAAATATAAAAGACGTTTTTGGTTCAGCATTAGGAAGAAATCAAATAATTTTAACACATTATGCTTTAATTTGTAAAACTAAATGTGATTTTGTAAATACTTTTTCACTATGGGTTACCACTTTGGCAAAAACAAATAAAGAAAACATAGCATGAAATCAGATGTTTCTAAAGCGAACTACACGCTTACTCAACGACTCTTGTCGCTGAACAGCCAAAACTTTTTGTGACTTGGTCAATCTGCGTCAAAACCCTGGTGTATCAAATTTAATTTTCATTTCTGGTCTAAATACAATAAAAATTACACATTTTTGACACTTTTTACATGTTTCTCCACATTATAAGGATTATTTCGATATCAAAATTGCATATGTTGCCTCAAATTTGGCCATGTTGACAGTTCACTTAGGAAGTGTCCATATAGAACGCCACATCGTGCATAGGGGTAGCGAAAACTGCTTGTTAAATGGCTTTGTGATGCGCCTGCAGACCTGAACCACGTATGGGCTGTTCAGCCGTTTATAGCCCTAGCCCTTGGCCTTTCAGACGATCTACGAAACCGTTTGCGCGCGTTCAACCGGGCCATTTGATAAAATTGAGCGCGTGGTTCAACGCGAATACGCGCACTACTAAAATGCGGCTCTGTCACAGCTCACACAACCGGTTTTTGTGCCGCATTGCACCATGAAACGTGGATCTTATATGTTACTGTGAAGGCTAAAGATGGAATATCCTACCTCGAATATGAATAGTGGTCAATCGTCATACACATCCCATCCACAGGATACTACGCGCATCTCACCTGGATGTAATCCCCAATCCAACCCATCCGCTTTTCCCAATAGTGATACGGGTCCACATGGTCGTGCTTACAGCTCGTACCCGCCTGCCTACCAAACTCCAAATGAGTTCGGCAGTCCGGGAAGTCACACGGCGCCCAATCCACCTACATATCCACATGTATATCCTCCTGAGGGCCACGGTCAAAGCTTGACGCTGAATCAATTACTACAACAGGGAAATACTCCGAACAGTTATCCTCCAAGGCCTCATGGGGGCCCTCCACTGCAAGCACCATATCGCGCTTACGAACATTATCCCTACGGATACAAACCCGGTGTGCCTGGTGTCGGTGAACGGCCACAAGTGAGTGAAAAATTGCTGTACATTCATTTCTCCACGTCCATGCTGCGAGATTCGCCAGAATACTTTCTGCAAGACAATTATCCCTTAAAAATCCACAGATGTCCTATTTTTAAGTTTGGACCTTGCATTCTATTCGCCCAATATCGAGCTAAACTTACATGCTATATATGCCCCAAAGCCTATCCACGGTGTCTTCTTCGTACAGACCAAATGGTTGTCTTACCTGACCCCATATTAATTACGCTCCTGTTTGTCTTTCCCTAAAATTTCCGTGATCTTGGAAATGTTAATGTTTAATGGCTCTAGGATTCATCACTTAAAAACCAAAGCCAACGTCTACCGAAAAGAGCTCAACACTGACTGGGATAAATCATGAGAATTCGCGTTAAAAATCAAGATTTTACACAATGCTATGTCTTGGCCAGATTTGGTTGTTCTATTGTCCAAGTCTCAGACGCTATCCATGTTCAATAAGGTAGCATTTGAATACCTAATGCGGTTGTCCTTGGTCCATCGTTATAGCACGTGCTAGGTTCATTTGATGTCCCTCTGGGCGGGTTTAACCAGTGGCGATTCAACTGTTTCTCCAAAGCAACCTGTCCTACCTCAGGTCCCATCGTTTGGTATCGATTTTTGTAGTTAAGACGAAGACAAAAATCTGTATGGCGTATCGTAGCTATGCATCTTCATCTATCAGCTAGACAGGATGGCCATCCTAATTATCCGATCTTCGCTGAGTATTGCAGCCAATCTTAAGGTTCAGTTCATATCGGTATGAGTGCGTTTGCTGGTTTGCGTGAAACTATCTTTTTCTCCAATCGATTTCCATCAAGCTGTTTAGTCTTCTGTCTTGTGGCGTCATTCAAATCATTACTTCAAGTTCGACTTCCTATTTTGTCTTTTCTCATCGAGATCATTATGCCACAAATCTAAATGAAACTTTTAGGGACGGAGAGTGTAATGTCACGACCGGCGGAAGCGATCCGATCTCCCGTGTTTCTCAATAACCCAGTATGAGTCGGGAAGTACAACCGGTTAGTCAATGGAAAGTATATTGTTCCCTGAAGCTACCGGAAGTTTAGCCTGACTACGCTCGAGAATATCTGAAAGTGAAATGCGAAGGTGTAGCATTGAACTCACGCACTGTTTAAAGTGAAGTTACTTCACCGGAGGTGGCCGTGACTTAAACAAAGATGAAGGACCTAGCGGAAGAAGCGATCTCAGGATATCGAGGATCCTGGCGGAATCTATGCTACAAAGGAGAAGGATGCACGAGCGAATGCTCCATGCAACCGCGCGGAACAGGCAGACCAAAGACGGTGACAACTCTCGAGCATGTTACACTGTCGGTCNAAGCCACTACACGCTCGTTCAGACATACTCATGATTTCCGAGTCATGCTTTGATTGCCTTAACCCCTTCAATAGTTGGCTAGTGACTTCCTTTATAAAAGCCAGAGACCAAATCTGATTCATTTTGTACCGGCATGAATACTGGGCGTACTTATTGGTTCTCACGCGTAACCTCGTACTCATACAAGACATCGCCTTCCTAAGCATGATATGTGATTACGGCTGTTAATATCATCTCATAAACGGAATATATCTGAGCAGAAACTAGGCTTTAGTTTTGTAAGTTGATGAAGTAGAACTCTTGCTCCCATTTCACTCGTTTGGTAACTCCCTCAGCCTACATGGATCTAACAGCGTAGATACCATTTCCATCGAAACCGATCTATTCGAATAACAATGTTTTCACCCCAGTATAGTCACTATGGATCGTGGAGAGCGTCGAGGTTCCTGGTGTGATTGGCACTTCCGAGCTGACTTCTACGTGAATATCTGCGTTGCCTCAAACCGACTCCCTGTATATCTGATGTCGACTGTCCATGCGTTGCGCTATGCGGCTAGATTGGTGCCCCTCGGGATTCTGTTTCTCAAGGATGGGCATTTTTGTTTCACCGTGCAGTTTTGGATGTTTCTTTATCTTTGAGGAACTCCATTTCAACAAACCGTACAGCATGTGCGCCACTAACTCCTATTCTGAGCTGTATCTCTCAGAGTCTTTCACCAATGAAAATCTCCTCCTGGTCTCCAACATGGGGAGGTCTGATAGCCGAAGCCACTGTTGACGCTCACTTCACGCTCCTACGCCCTCATGATTTGATCAAGACTAAAAAGGTCGTCAGCTTGATTAGCATCACCTCAACTCACTGGCATACACCCTTGGCTGCCTGTAGAATGTTCACAGGTTGTTGGGAAGAAATGGGATCACCTCGTGGACCCTACCCGAAGCCTTTGGTAGACCTGCAAGACAGTAGAGCCATAGTCATGAGTCCACAGTCCATAAGGCACGGGTTTTCAGTTAATCGGATCATACACCCTTTGGACGGTGTCAAACGTCCAAGGTGCCCAATAAACTTCAATGTTCAGTCAAACCGGAGACCACCGTCACAACCGGGAGAAGAAAATCTGTGGTTCCTACGCCTCTTCTTGGTTGGTTTGCTATCAGGGTCTTTAGCCAATTCCCCTAGATGATCTGCCAGTAGTTCACCAACTTGGCTATGGCCGCGGATGTTGGCTTTTCGTCTTCTAACTTGGGAAACCATCTTCGCCACGGGAAAACGGAATGTGGAGCTTCCCCAGCAGATGCTATTCAAGTCAAGTATTTGCTTTATGCACCCCGAAAGGTGGATATTCAGGCACTCGACCATGTAGAAGCATTTCATTAGGTGCAAGGGACGGGTGACGCCTAGGTTGGAAATCTGAGTGCATCCAAACGAGGTCAGCAAACGGACAGCGGCAAGTAAATTCCCCAGTTCAGTGCAATCCATCGATTGTTCCTATCCATTGCGAACTTTGACAAATCTATCGATGGAAGACAACGTGCAACGTGGTAAGGAGACTTACAGTGAATAAAGTAATAAGCTATTGTTGGCGTACAGAACTGTGCCTGGGACGTACGTGAGCCTTCTCTGCTAAAAACATCGGATCGCGTTAATGTCTATAATCGCAACTCGCCATCATTTACTTCATTTATAAGCGGAATCGGACAAGGATGTCGGGCTTCACCTTTACTATTTAATTTCGCATCAGTCAGAATCCTAAGCAGTGCTCTAAGATACTGCAGAGCTTCCGGTGTGGAGCTTCTCCCAGATGATCGACTCCTTGACTTGGAATATGCTGAGGACATCTTTATGTTCTACGACTCCTAAGTCACTCAGAATGTCCTGTGTAAGTTAGTGGCATCCGTCACGCAGTTTAGTATGATCTTCTGTCCATTGAAATGTAAGGTCTTACTACAGGACTGACCGGAGACTACAGCTCATGCTCAGGAGCGACCATTTGGAAGTCGTTGATCACTTAACTTATCTCGGGAGTTGTTTTAGCTTAAGGGGACTGACATAAAGACCAACAGCGCCTATCCACAAGGCTCGAGTGGCTTTCGCTAACTTATGTCACTTGTGGCGCTAACGCGATCTCAGTCTCTCCTAGTAAGACCGCGTTTACAATGCCACAATAAGCACTGTCTTACTCTACAGCTGCGAGAGTTGGCCCCTCCAAGCAGAAGCCCGGAAATTAAGTGTCTTTGACCACAGTTGCCCTCGTTACATTGTCAGAGTATGTTGGCAACAGAGAATCGCCGAAGAATCTTTGCCTCAAACAATCTCACTTGCCTTCCGAGTGCCGTCATCTCGCTAAGGAGACTTCGGTGGCGGGACATGTATTGCGGATGCCGGCTCAACAACTACCCCATCGTGTTATATTCGCGCAAACCGACACTAGCTGGAAGCAGCGTCAAGATGGACAACGAATAACCTAGGCTCGAACGACGAAGACGTTAACCTCGAAACTGTCCGTGGTAGGACGCTCTAGACTCCCGAGTTGGGGTCGAAAGAACTAATGATCCGATGAACTGTTACCGGCTTGCTTTGGACCCTGTGATCCGAGGTTCGAGCCCTGCCACTGCCACCCAACTTTGGTGGCAGGCGGCCTTGCTGTCGCCCAGTTCAATACCACTCCTGACCTTGCGGGGCCTTATATGGTTTGCCACTCCAAGTCCTGGGGAATAGGTTGCCGATTTCCGTCAATGAACAACAGGTCTTCGTGACTATAGGACCCACCCCGTTTGCTGTTTATCACGCAAAAATGTGTAATAAATAAAAGATGGATTGCGGTTTTCGCACCATCCCGCTACCTTGCGGATCAGGCTTTGGCTTATCGAAGGCTCCGGTTGTAAATTCCTCGAAAAAATCACCTGCTTTGACCTGGATATTCTGGTACTCCGCCTACAAACAAAACGTGTAACTTTCGCTTCCTCACTCTGGTTTCACACGGCGAAATATATACGTAAACATCTAAACCGATTAGCAATCGAGACAAGTCTCCGTGGAGTGTGCTTTTCGCCCTCCAAATGTAAAGCGTTGGAGCCTGTCCCTACGCGTTCCCTTAGGGGGTAACTTTCTGAAGTTTAACGTTTGTCCGTTTCCGCATTTGCGTCTCGGATGACAGTAAGAATCATGTCCTCATATAGCAATAACTTCCCGGTGAGCTATTCCTGCCTCATTTAGATTGAACATATATATATAGCAAGGGAGAGGGAGGGAATGTGGGCTGATCCTCCTGTTTTCGCATTTACTATCTATGAGCATTAATAGGTTTTGTAGGTTTCAATTTAATTATTAGTTTAAAGCCTTTTTCGACCTCTGTGATCAAAGTAAAAACAAACTAGCTATACCCAGTTGTTTCAATGTTCGACATGGAATGTTATGTTAGAAACGAGTTTCTTTTACTAACAACCATGGCGTTGATAATGATACTAGCATTTATCGTATTACGCGTTCTATTCAGTTCAGTTCCGTGTAGTTCTCACAACCAACAGCTTTGCACTGTCGCGGGGAGATTTTGGTCGTTGTCTTTCAGCCACCTATTTGATCGACTTCGGAAGCAGATGTGCATTTGGGATAACAATCAAAGGTATAAAATGCAAGTAAATGAACG